AAAAAATTGATGTGACTCATTTTATTGCAGTATTCACTTTATTTAAGCAGTGGTCTGGAACCAAGTACACAGTATCTCTGAGGTATGACTACATTCTGTGGAAGATGAAGTAATCTTGCAGTCTAGTTCTTTGTGGATATTTATTTGTTTTGCATATTTGGAGAGAGGAGGAGGAGCAGTGATAAAAACTGGTAAACTTTCAGTTCAGGCAAATTATCTTAGGGTTGTCTAAAGATGAAGGAAGAATCATCTAATGGTATATAAATAACTCACTACTGCTTTCTATTTCAACTAACATTTGAATTAAACACAGCAAAGGGGGAGGGACTCTAAAGGCTCTAATGATGCTCTCTTTAAAGCTTTACCTTGCTCTAGGGTAAAACTTGGTAAGTTTCTCTCACTTTCATTCCGTTGCTGTTAATATTTGTCCAAGTGAAAGGTAAGTACAAAGGCATAGAGGCGGGAAGTACATAATGTACCCTACTCTGGGTAGTCTCAGTTGAATTTCAGGGTCTAGTGGCAGAGACAGACAGACTACTAAATAAAGCACTTACTTTGCACAGTTAAAAACATGATTATTTTATTATTTGCCAATATGTTCTGATGTGATCCATATAATTTTAAATCTCATATCCTAATTGTAGTTTTTAGGTGATACAAAAAGTACAGTGAAAAAAATTACCTGTTACGTATAAGGGAAGCAACATAGATCCAAACAGACAAAACATTTTTGGGGTATGGGTGTATGTATACAGCTAAAGCAAATTCAACATTAGGAACATCAATATTATGTACTCCAGTACTATACACAGCGTCAATTAAAGGCTTCACTTCAGAATAAGGCATGTGAAGAGGAAATCCAGAGAACTGAAGGGAAAAAAAACATTTGTAATCATTAGTGAAGTCTGAAGATTTAATACATTTTTCCTATGTAAATGTATGCAATTCTTACTATAAGTCTTCTGGATTTCAGTTGTGTTTTTCTACTCAGCTATTTATTAGCAATACAGAAAATCGAGTTGCTTAATATCCATTTTGTTTTCCTTGCTAGCATGTAGGTGTATAAGCCACCTGTTAGTCACCCCATCACTGTTCCCTTCCCTCTTTTTGATAGTACTTAGTATGCATAGTAACCCATGTAATTCCAGAGACCTAGGTACCTAAGTTAAACTACACCAATACATTTATTTTTTTCTTTTTTCTTTTTTTTTTGAGACAGGTCTCACTCTGTTGTCCATGTTAGAGTGCAGTGGCATGATCATGGCTTACTGCAGCCTTGGCCTCCTGCTGGCCTCAAATGGTCCCCCGACTTTAGCCTCCTGAATAGCTGGGATTGTAGGCAAGCACCACCATGCCTGGCTACTTTTTATATTTTTTGTGGAGATGGGGTTTTGCCATGGTGCCCAGGCTGGTCTTGAACTCCTGGGCTCAACTGATTCACCTGCCTCAGCCTCCCAAAGTGCTGGGGTTACAGGTGTGAGCCATGGTGCCCAACAATAATTTTTGGCCCCTTGGCTACAACGATTGATCCACAGAGATGGGCAAGGGAGTCTCAGAGCGCGTCTTGGGAAATTTAGGAATAATGGCACATGATATTGTCCTACTTTGGATGTGTGTGCAGATGTAAGTTATGGAAGTGTTCCAGCATTTGCTTCCATGAGGAAACCTAGTGTCAGGATGATGCCATCATATGGAGGGGAAGGGCAGAATGGGAAGACTTGCAAAAGAGTGGGACAGCCCTGATAGCTACCCTCTAAGCTTTACTTAAGCCAGTACATTCTGTATTGCTCAAGCCTGTTTGAGTTTTCTGATATTTGAACTAAAATATCCTGGCTGAGAGGTGCCTTTTAAGTTAAACGATAAATTGTACTCAGTCAGTGATCTAATTTGCCCTTCACACTGTTTAGCTAACAAGGCTTACTGTTAAGTCTTAGGAGCCTGCTTTCTAGGTTTTGTCATCCAGCTATAGCACTACCAGCAGGCAGGAGAGAGGGGTATATCATCTGTTAATAACCACCTTTCTTAGCAATGACAAACAATCACTGTAAAACAGTATTCTTACAAAAACTGCTCTAGGATGTTTTTGTCTTTATGCACAGTTGAGTCTAACATGATTTAGCCAGATATTTTCATTTTATTTGATACTTAAATGTATTTCATAAAAGGTATTTTTCATGGGATATTTTTATACAAAATGGTGGTATTTTGCTATTTAGTGATTAACTATTGAGGTTTAAAACTTATAATCACAGTTTTTAGTTTATGCTGCTTTAAATATGTACTTCTGGGAGATACTTAGGTCCTTTGATTCCGGAAACGTATTATTGCCTAATTTTCATTTTGACACAAGGAAATCCACAGTCAGTTTAGGATCCATTTGTAACATACCCTGTAGTCTCCCAGCTGTTTTAGCAGTTCTGCTCTGTGGTCATCTTCTACATCGTCTCCTTGACTTTTTTCTAACAGAGGCAAGAAGTGACGCAGGGTAGAGGTACAATACCTATTCCACCGAGTCAGATGGCGTGGCCTCCAGTCCATGATTTTTTCTTTTAGTATTTTTTCAAGCCTGGTCACAAAACATAAACTCATTTGTTGACACTCACTTTTCCCTTGTTAAAAAAAAATATGTAGTGGGGATTCAGATGATTGTATAACTACGTTCTTTGCTGATGGAGTTGTCATTCTCCAGGCATAATGTCTTATAATGGGCTGCCCCTGGGTATTCAAAATAGACATGAAATCCTGCCCTTCAAGGTTATATATGAGTTGACATGGGAAATAGGCCTATAAATAGTATGTATATTCTAAGAGCCGTAACAGATGCTTGAAATGTAACAGAAGGGAGCACTGAATGAGTTGGGGATAGCTAGATTCAATACATGCAGCAAAAGTTTATCATTATTAATTTTTTTAAAGGCTGGGTGTCACTCTGTTGCCTAGGCTGGAGTGTAGTGGTACAATCACAGCTCACTGCAGCCTCAACTTCCTGGGCTCAAGTGATCCTCCCACCTCAGCCTCCCTGGTAGCGGGGACCACAGGTGCACATCACTATGCCTGGCTATTTTTTTTCTTTTTTGTAGAGACAAGGTCTTGCTTTGTTGCCCAGGATGTTCTCAAACTCCTGGGCTCAAGTGATCCTCTTGCCTTGTCCTGCCAAAGTGTTGAGATTACAGGTATGAGCCACTGTGCCTGGCCATGAACTATTTTTTGAAATGTTTTATGACTATACTCATTGACAGCATATATACAGACAGATGAATTAGACATAGGCATAAGAAGTGGGGCTTATGTTGAAAGCCTCAAATATTTGTGGGGCTGTTAGTGCCTTGTAATTTATTCACATCATGAACAGTGAATTGTATTTATGATGATGGAATTTTTTTCTAAATTGCCTTAAAACTGCCTTTAAAATACCAACATCTCTGAAACTTTATTTGTGATAAGTACAGGTATTGGGTTCATAGGGTGTGAAGTTTAAGCATAGAATGAAGGAAAATAGCTACCATTTATTGAGCCATTTACCAGATACTGTGGTAAGTGCTTTCTTTACATTTTTATTTACTCTAAATAATAACCTTGTGAGGTAGAGAATATTGTCCTGTTTTTACAGATGAGGGGACAGTTTGAGGCAGGATAAGTGATTTGACTAAGGCAAAAGAGCTGGGATTCAAACTGAAACCCTGCTGATTCTAAAGCCTCTTGTATATTCCCTAACTAAATGCATGGGTTTAGAGACCTAGCTAGCTTCTCATTGTTCAATAATCATAGGGACCATTTGTTTTTTGGCACTTAGCACATCTTTGTTTTGGATTTCAAAATGGTCTGCACAAGAAAGTATTGACGAATTGAAGCACTTATATTTCTCCAATTTATACTGGAGAAATATAAGTGCTTGACAATTCGTCAATATAAAACAAAAAGGTTGTTTGGACATTAGTTCTAGTTAGGGATCTTGAATAAGGCTTTATGGAGAAATTGAGAGTAAACTGATATTTTCTAATCATAAAGCCTCAAGAGGTGTCACACACCTTAATACAGTAGAAACAGCACACACATCTTGAAATCAGAAAAATTGGCTGGGCTCTAACACTTAAACAAGTATGTCGACCTCTCTGAGCATCGGTTTTCACATTGTGAAACTAGGAGAATAAGTTCTGTTTTACAGGGTTATGAGAATTACAGGGACTCATATAGGCTCTTACTGACCTTCTCCATGTGTTCGGTTCATAAACTAACTGCAGTTCAATAAACCACTAATTGGACAAAAAGGGTATATTTAAGCTGAGGATTATGATGTGCCTCAACAAGACCTGTAATAACATGATGTTAAACTCCAATCCGAGGTGAAGTCTCTGTAGAAGTACGTTTTTGTGTCTTTTTTTTTTTTTTTTTTTTNTTTCCCTCTTGTTACCCAGGCTGGAGTGCAGTGGCACGATCTTGGCTCACCAAAACCTCCACCTCCTGGGTTCAAGCAATTCTCCTGCCTCAGCCTCCCGAGTAGCTGGGACTATGGGCGCATGCCACCATGCCCAGCTAATTTTTGTTTTTCTTTTTTAGTAGAAACGGGGTTTCACCATGTTGACCAGGATGGTCTCGATCTCTGACCTTGTGATCCACCCGCCTCGGCCTCCCAAAGTGCTGGGATTATAGGCATGAGCCACCGCACCCAGCCTAGAAGTATGTACTACTGGTGTTCCACTCTGGTTAGTTCCACAGTGAGCTGATGCTAAAGACTCCTTCAGAGCCATAGGATTTAGAGATCACATCTGTACTTGGAATCTATAAATATGAATTAAAGTTAAATTGCCTAAATTGTTTCACATTCATCCAGGCTGACAGTGCTTTAAAGTTTGGTATTATACTCCTAGTGACAGATTACATGTGGATTTATGGGTATTATGTTACCTGTCTTGTAGCTCAGCTGCAGCTGCTTTGTCTGAGCGCTGGTAAATTAGCTCTTCAGGCTATAGAAGAGAAAAACGTTCAGAAAGTCTAAAAATCACCTACAGTTAATTTGAACAGCTGTACATCCTTTTAAAAATCTTAAAAATCAGAGTGAACTCTCAGATATCAAGATACAGATAATATAATGCATGCTGATTTACTCATGACCCACTAGAAGTAAAACATCATAATATAGTGCTGTGTAGTTCTTTCTCAATTTCATTTTTTTTCTCTCTTACCACAGAAGTAACCATGACCTGAATTTGTTTTAGCATTCCTTCATTAAACAAGTACTGATTGCCTGCTATGTCCTAGGCACTTTTCACAGGTGAGGGGGATAGGGATTTGGCTATGAATAAAAATTCCTGTCTTCATTAATACATTAATGCAACGTGCTTATGATTTTACTACAGATATATGTACCCCTAAAAAACATTTCATTGTTGTGCATGTTTTCTAAAGTTTACATAATTGTTATATTTTATGAATATGCAACTTGTGCTTTCTCCCTTAACTTTATATTTAGTGGCAGCAACAAACACTGGAAAGGCCAGGATATAGAAGGCTTCTTGAAAAGAAAGATTTCTATAGCTTGGGCTTGGTGACATCAAAATTTATCCTTAGTGGAGAAATATTTATATATATTGATATATAAATAAAATATAAATTTATATATATTTATATATAAATAAAATATATATTTATATATAAATAAAATATATGTTGATATATATGTTTATAAAAATATATATTATAATGTATATTTTTTTTGAGATGGAATCTCACTCTCTTGTCGCTAGGCTGGAGTGCAGTGGCATGATCTCGGCTCACTGCAACCTCCACCTCTTGGGTCCAAATGATTCTCCTGCCTCAGCCTCCCGAGTAGCTGGGACTACAGGTGTGCACCACTATGCCCAGCTAATTTTTGTATTTTTAGTAGAGACGGGGTTTCAACATGTTGGCCAAGATGGTCTCGATCTCTTGACCTCGTGATCTGCCCGCCTCAGCCTCCCAAAGTGCTGGGATTACAGGCGTGAGCCACTGCACCTGGCCAACAAAGATATATTTTTAGAGGGCTTATTAAGATTCATTAATGCTGACTGTTTTAACTGTAAAATATTCCATCATGTAACATAATTTTCTTTTTTGTCATTCCGACTCTTATGCCATTTCAAGCAGTGTTCCTATTAAAAATCTTGTATATATCACCTTGTACACATATGGGAGAATTTCGCTAGGGTAATGCTCTTCAAGGCCTTTTCTGAAAGGTAGATCCAGAGAATAAAATACATTTTATTACAAACCTAGTACACACATACATATATCTATCAAATGAAACAAAAGTTTTAGTAAACTGCTTATGCTTACTACTTAGAATCTACTACTGGTCAGGACCCTGTAAGTTAATTTTATGAGCCCCTAGTGGATCATACCCTGCAGTTTAATTTGATGTTTCATTACCAGTCATGAAATCTATTTTGCGAATTGAGATCAGCATTTAAAAAAAATTATATGGAATACATTTTGTGGTACTTTTAATATGGAAATTTTTATATTAAAACTTTTCTTCCACATATGTGTAAGATGTGTATAATGGTCCTTTCACATATATATAAACATACATATCTGTATCTTATTGTGAGTTGAGCTCAAATACATTTAATAAACGAATACTGTTCTACTACTCAGGAGTGAGTGGAATTAAGGGCCAAAAAACATCTGGTAACCCAGTATAATGATTTCCTATCTTTTATTTGTCTACATTTAATTGTTAATAACAGATTTATACCTGAACACTGGAAAGGCCAGGATATGGGAGGCTCCTTGAAAAGAAAGATTTCCATAGCTTGGGCTTGGTGACATCAAAATTTATCCTTAGTGGAGAATCATATCGCTGAATATTAAACCAAATCTAAGAAAGACAAGACTACATTAGCATATATGTTAGCATATATACATACACTTACGTGTGTGCATGTATGTGTGGTATATAGAGGCAGCAGATAGCAAGTGTTCATATAGGCTGCACACTTTTTGTCATTTTTTTATTCTAAAAATTGTGCATTTTAGAATCAGTGGCATTATACAGTTGTCACTGGTCATTTTTTCACATTTTTTTCTGAAGTTGGGGTGCACCTTAGTGTTGACTGTAGATTTGATAAAGTGAGCTTGTTTTTTATTATGAAAACCAAAGCCACTTCTTTCTTAGGCTAGATTTTCTTGACCTTTCTCATCCCAGCCTCCTAATTGAATTGAGTGTCCGTCCATTCATCTCTTTGCATCCAGAGCAACCTGCAGTCTCTGAGATAGCCCTTGTCTTGGTGAGGCAGCATAGCATGTTGGTGCTGGAACCAGACTACTATCATTTGAATTTTGACTTCAACATTTACTACTTGTGTGACCTTGATTTATGTAACTTCTGTGTGCCTCAGTTTCCTTCTGTATAAAAGTGGGATAATAATAGTATCTACCTCATAAGGTTGAGTTGGTTCAGTGAGTTAATTAATCTGTATCTCTTTGAAGAATGCCTGGTATGTAGTAAATGCTCAGTAATTGTTAGTTATTTGAAAATGATTATTACTTAGCATTGTTTATAATTGCCTGTCTATTCGTGTCCACACTAGGCTATCAGACTTTGTCCTGAGGACATTCACTACGTGCCTTATTTACCATTGTATCTTTAGCACCTAGCATAGTTCCTGACATACGGTGGTCATACTGAATAACTATGTACATGAATTTTTCTGTTCAGTATACTTATCAACTACCTACTAGGTTCAGGCTCAGTTCTAAATACTGGGGATAAAGTAGTGAATGAAACAGAGTTTCTACCCTCATGAAGTATCTAATAAGAAAAGATAGCAAATAAATAAGTAAATACGCAGGCACTGAGGCTCACACTCATAATCCCAGGGCTTTGGCCTCCCAGTCTGGAAAACATAGTGAGAACACTATCTCTGAAAAAAACTTTTTTTTAAAAGAAGTAGCCAGGTGTAGTGGTGCATGCCTATAGTCCTAGATGCTTGAGAGGCTGAGGTGGCAGGATTGCATGAGCCCAGGATTTCAAGGTTCCAGTGAACTGTGGTCACACCACTGCACTCCAGCCTGGATGACAGAGCAAGAGACTGTCTAAAACAACAGCAACAAAAAACAAGTAAAAACATGGGATGTCAGATGATGGTATGATGTGGTAAATTGTATTATTAGCCCCAATTCTGCACTCCTTTCTATATGCATACCTTTTCTCACATTACTTTGCAGTTCCTCCCACTAAAAGAGAAGACAGACACTTTTGCATTCCTTGACTTGTGGCCAATGGACTGGGACAGAAGTCACTGTATGGCTTCTGAGTCTATGCTTAAGAGGCCTTGTGTGTTTCCGCTTGTCCTTTTGTGCCTCTGCCATTGTCATTGCCCCGCATCCCAGAATAAACACATATGAAGCTGAGCTGTCCCAGTTCACTCACGGATCTACTATGAGAAGCAGAGCTTGCCTTGCAATCACAACTTGCAGCAGAGTTGCTCAGCCTCGATTAGCAGAACCTCCCCAGCTGACTTACAGATCCCTGAGAATAAATGTTTGAAGCCATTTAATTTGGGGGTGAGTTTTTACTATCTTTATTGTGGCAATAGTTAATTGTGCAAGGGCTATGGAGAAAACAAAAATGGAACATGTTAAGGCAGGCAGGGAAGTTCTAACTGGAAAAATGACTTTTCATCAGAAATGCAAGAAGTGATGGAGAAATCTATGATGATATCCAGTAAGGGGCAGTGGTCATTTATGTGTAGGAAACAGCAAGTGTAAAGTGTGCTTTGGTATGTTTGAGGAATAGCAAGGAATATGAAATAGTTTGAAAGAATCAGCAAGTAAGAGATGACATTATCAGAGGAAGTGGGAGAGAGGTGGGTAGGGTGAGTATCAGATCATGGAGGCCCTGTGGGCCATTTTGAAGATTTAGGCTTTGACTCTTAAGTGAGATAGGAAGTCACTGGAGTATCTGTTGGGTAGGGGAGTGACATAATTTGCCTTTCACTTTAACAGGAATTTTCTTTGCTGTTTTGAGACTAGTTAAAAGAAGGTAGGGTCAAATGGTGAAGCATTCAGGTTGGATGCTTATTTTGAATAATCTAGGTGAGAGCTACAGCAACTTCAACGAACATGGTAGCAGTAAAAGTGGATAGATGTGGTTGGACTCTGGGTATACTGTGAAGGTAGAGCCAGTAAGATTTGGTGATGGTTTGGATGTAGAAGAGAGAGGAATCAAAGGTGAGTAAGGATTCTGGCCTTAATAATTGGACTGATGGAATTGACATTTATTGAGATGGGAAAGACTGCGAAGGGGAATCAGGAGTTCCAAGTTTGGGCATCTGAAGTTTGAGATGTCTGTCTAACATCCAAATGAAGATGATAAGTAGGGGATTGGATATTTGAGTCTGAAGTTCTAGGGAGCTAGGTGAGTTACAGGTATAAACTTGGGAATCATTGGCATATATATGGTGTTCTCTGGGAGGAAGTATAGCTAGAAAAGAGGTTTGATGAATTTTGAGGATCTCAAATGTTTCAAATTTGGAGAATACAGAAAAAGTGGCAAAGAGTATAGAGAAGTAGAAGCCAATGAGGTAGGAGTCCTTGACTTGGAATCCAAATCAGAAAATTGGCTTAAGACAAGATCCTTAAGAACCACAATTTGGTATAGAGTAGGGTATGTTTAGAAAAGTAGTGGGAAATTGCACTGCATACATAGGGCTTTGAAATCCAGGGTGGAAAGTTTACTCTTAAATCTGTATGCAGTGAAGTCCCCCTAATACTTTCTAAGTCAGCAAATGATGAAAGCTGGACATTAGGAAGCTTAATCAGGCATCATTGTATCAAAAAGTGTACTCAATTGGGGATACTATTTAGTTGGTCATTTATAGAAATGTAGGGCAAAACAATAATGGCATGACCTGGGAAATAGCGAAGATAGTATCTATATGATTTTACATTAAGATTGAAGTAGAATGAAGTAAGAGAGAGGGAAACTCAAGAACAATTCTAGGGTTTAAATCAGGGTAAGTGATATCCATAGAAATAGGAAGCCAGGAAGGGGAGCTGGTTTTGGGGGAAATGATTTGAGTTTTGCATGTGCTGTGTTTGGGATTTTGATAAAACACCTGGGTGTCTGGTAAACAGTTGAAAATTCAAGACAGTTTCTGGGACTGGTTACAGAATTATGACTTCTCTGTCAGAATAAACTAGATAAAGTCACAATTAATAATAACAGGTGTGGCCCTAGAAGAAATCTAAATATAGAGTCTTTAGAAACTTCCATTTTTAAGGGGTTGGAAG